TTCCCCCAAATCCCCCAAATTTTCCCAAATCCCCTATATTTCCCCCCCAATTTCCCCCCAAATGTCCCCGAATTTCCCCAAAATTCCCCAAATTTCCCTAAATTTCCCCCAAATCCCTGTTTTTTCCCCGAATTTTCCCAAAATCCCGTTTTTTCGCCCCATTTCCAGCCCCCCCAGCTCCTGGCCCGGCTGCTCCCGGAGCTGCGGCGGCGCCTGCGGGAAAAGCGGGAACGGATCCGGGATTTCCTGCTGGGACCCCCCGAAATCACCCCAAATCACCCCGAAAACCCCCAAAACCACCCTGAAATGCCCCAAATTCACCCTGAAATGCCCCAAATTCACCCCGAAATCACCCAAAATCCACCTAAAAACACCCAAAATCCACCCAAAATCACCCAAAATCCACCTGAAATGCCCCAAAATCCACTCAAAAACCCCCAAATTCACCCTAAAATCACCCAAAATCCACTTGAAAACCCCCAAAATCCACCCAAAACCACCCAAAATCCACCTGAAATGCCTCAAAATCTGCCCAAAATCACCCAAATCCACTCCAAAATTACCCAAAATCCGCTTGAAATGACCGAAAATCCGCCCAAAATCACCAAAATTCCACCTAAAATCACCCAAAATCCACTAAAGAAACCCCAAATTCACCCTGAAAACGCCCAAAATCCACCTGAAATGTCCCAAAATCCACCTAAAATCACCCAAAATCCACCTGAAATGCCCCAAATTCACCCCAAAATCACCCAAATTCACCCCGAAAACCCCCAAATTCACCCCAAAATCACCCAAATTCACCCCGAAAACCCCCAAATTCACCCCAAAATCACCCAAATTCACCCCGAAAACCCCCAAATTCACCCCAAAATCACCCAAATTCACCCCGAAAACCCCCAAATTCACCCCAAAATCACCCAAATTCACCCCGAAAACCCCCAAATTCACCCCAAAATCACCCAAACCCAAAATCCCTGAAAATCCACCCAAAATCCCCCAAAATCCACCCAAAATCCCTGAAAATCCACCCAAAATCCCCCAAAATCCACCCAAAATCCCTGAAAATCCACCCAAAATCCCCCAAAATCCACCCAAAATCCCTGAAAATCCACCCAAAATCCCCCAAATTCCACCCAAAAACCCCCAAAATCCACCCAAAATCCCTGAAAA